CTTCATTAACTAACCATCTTCGCCGTCGCTGTCGTCGAATATGCACCAAACTGAACAGTTACCATTCGAACGGACGTTACCAACATCAGAGTACCGAACAACGACTGCAATTAGTATCGACGACATTGACTGCTAGCGCATATAACGTGGAGGCAAATTAACATGAAAGTGCAATCGGTTTCGTTTCGCAATCGCCATATTTTTGCCTAAGGAGGCACGGTCGGCATTGCGGATAACTTGCGCTGCGATATGCAGGCTGGAATGAGTTCGGCTGCTGGTAGAGACATGCAAATAAGTCCCTGACAGAGCCGCAATAACCAGTACTTATTATCGGGTACAATCGCTGCCGCTACGTTGGTTTAAATGGCACAGTTTGTAATATGAAGGGAAGAAACGATGATGACGCTGTATTGAAAAATGGGAGTTTTTCATGTATTGTGTTGATAAACAGACCCTTGTTCCGTGTTCGTGAGTGCCGTTAGGTCTAGTTAGTGCTCTCCCTAATGGTAGAAGTCAGTGGTCGCCTGACTGAGACGTCGCGCCTAGCCGCACACCATTTTTTGTTACGACTTTCTCGTTCGATAGTCTATTTAGCAGAGAAACAATGTCAAAGTAGCTCAACAAGTAGGGCTCCGAATTGGCAGCTGAAAATCCATGTATCCTGGCTTGATAATTCAAAAAAACCATATTCTGCTAACGAGGTTGTCTAAGTATCCAACGTCAGCGTACACGGCATAGAGAAAAAGAATCGTGCTATATAAGAATAGCATGACAGCATAAAGTAGGCCAAATGCATTTTTATTAGTCGTGGAGACCTGACATGGACGTTTCAGTGGTACGCTAACGAAAGAATGGTATCCAAGATTCACGAACCTTTTGATGTAGTTACCTTTAAGGCAGTCTGTCGAGGAACAGGGCAATGAAATTACCTACACGACTATCTGTTCGTATTAATTCCAAAAAAACTTCGTCAAATCTTTTTATCGTACAGTCAGCTCTCTATCAGAAAGGTAAAGACTCATGAGTCAGTTGGATGAAGGACCTGTGGAAGAGTATGCTCTGTGTAAGGAAAGGAGAAGAAAAGAATATCAGCTGTGCCAGGTGTGTCGAAAGTCAAAGAAGCCGCGTAATAACGCCTGGAAAATTGGAATCTCTTGTAGTCATTCCTGAGATTAGAGAACAATTACTCGTTATTGTTATGGCTTATTCAGAAAATGACATTGTTATGTACAATTCTATCACCGTTCTTGCGACAGATTTGTCTGATTTTGTACATTCAAGTTTACCATACGTTTGCACCCATTTCGTGCTGTCATCAGCCCAGCGTCGTTTAAAGCTTCTCTTGGTGTAGTTTGCCAGGCGTCGTTCTTTCTTTGGATGGTCAAAGGCATAGTGGATGATTTCAAAACGTGATTTTTAGAAATTTTCATTGGCAATGGCCAGCCTACCTTTCTTCGGAGTCTTATTTTGAGCATCCGTTTTTCAAACAAATTTGCCCCTAAGGCATAGCAGCTATAATAGCAGAGTCTTGAGTTCAAATATCCGAAAAAGCCTTTGTGTAGAGCCGCTGCTGCTTCAGAGAGAGTAAGCACAGCTGCGATGGTTTTGAAACGCCTTGCGAAAACTTCCTGAAAAGAAAGCGAAACTACTACTACTTAACAGACTGGCCGAAGACTCCAAGGACTGTTAAAAATAACTTGTAGTGCCTCGATGGGTTCTGCTCCAGACTCAGAACTTTTTCTGTCGTAGCTCAGAACTGGCACAAGACTGGAAACGTTGAAGACACTGTATAACGCCAAACGCCTCCAGGACCCACAAGTATAAGCGGTTATCGACACTGACTTGCATAGCAACGATTCATGCACTTGAATATCATTGCCTCGTTGACGTACCCATTAAGAATTCGTAGCAGGTCTTTACGGCTGTCGCCGTGGTTACTGCAAATGATAAAAAGAACTCCACCATGTTGTGTCTTGGCATGTGATCCTGTGGTCGTCGTTGCCTGCACCCCGGGTACTGACGCCGAGGTCTAGATTTGTGAACAGCGTTTAGGGGTCGAATATTTCCTTCGAATAAGCTCTTTGCATCGAAAAAATGATCAGCATCAGCTCGGCGAAAGAAGCATGCCACTAATAATGGTCTTCGCCATTGAAGTGCAAGACAGATGACACCTGATATATAGGAATTTCATTTTTTTCTTTCGCGGTCACACGTGCATGCATATGAGCGTGAGTGCAAGCGTTAGTACATGCATGCATGAACACAGAAGTCGTCCCAGTGTTCGCCTGCGCATGTGCCCGAGCTTGGCCGAGCCGGGCCGGGCCGGGACGGGCCGGGCCGGGCCCGGCCAACAACTTTTCTAGGCCAAGTGCTGGTGCGTCTGTGCACTTTTGGCCGCTGCGTACCGAAGCCGGCAAGCCGTATGTCGCTCGCCGTTGCCAAGTCAAGTAACAAGCCTTCGCACGTCGCCGCCGCCGCTGCCGCCGCTGCCGCCGTTGCCGTTGCCACCGCCGCCGCCCCTGCCGCCGCCGCCGCCGCCGCCGCCGAGGCTATTAGACTTCGACTGCAACTTCGCTTTGGCGGCGGCAACGACTTCGACAGATATGCATAACTATGCGGGACAAGTCCCAGTTTAGCAGCGGCGCCGCCGCAGGTTGCGCTCAAGGTTGTTGCTGCTACTGATGCTGTGCTACTGCATGCCGCGGTGTTGTTGCCTTCGCGCACGCTCAGCGCTCGCTCGCGTCAACTCGTGCTGCTACTACCGTCGCCTCCTCCACCTCCATCTCAACCTCAACCTCAACCTGCACCTCCAGCCCCACCTCCACCTCCGCATCGGTTGTCAGCAGCCAGTCAGTTTTGGTGTTGTAATCCTGCGGTAGAATTGTAGCCGAGCACCAGGTGACCGACTACCGATCGCCGATCGCCGACCGTTCCAGCGTTGTTCCTGCCCGCACGCGTCTCATTCCGTCCACCGTCTCTAGCCACTTCTGGCTGCACTGTCTGTTGCCGTTCGCTACTTTCACCAACATTCGCCTGTTCATTCGTTCTCCGACTACCTGATTCCATCTTCTCCTGTACTGTGCTTGTCCGCTTGCAACGAACCGCTGCTT